CGTGACGTCATTCAAGTATAATTTTTGAAAATCAACGAAATAGGAAGACCAATGTAAGACTCATATCCATCCTTTGCATGTGGATTTAATTGTTAGGACAAAACTGAACAGGAACGATGAATATTTGAGGGAAATAACTATTTTAAATAAACGAAGTATTTGACTCTGTCCGTCTTTACGTGAAGTCCGTCGGAAATTTTTCTGCTCTTCTTAAAATATAACCAGCTGTTATAACCACCGTAAATCTGTCTTTTATAATTTTTTTACTTAGGCGATATACCACATATGGGTTATTTTCCACCTTAACAGAATGTAGTCATAATAATCCGCGAGACCCTAAGAGAACAGCTCGGCCTCGACGGAAGTACACAACCCCGGGTCACCTTTTCTCAGAATGTAATTCAAATTTTGTACATTATACCACCATACTTATCCCCAATCCGGGGACTTGCGACCCAATGATTCCGATGTAGTGGGGACAAGACCCCCGTAGAGCCCTCATGACCCAATGTCATCCTCAAATTACTTTTTTCCGTTGTATTTCATATAACTATTATGTTTATGTCTTATTAAAATTTTTATTATCTCGTCTATCATAACGTTTTATCTCCAATAAATTCTGAAAGGCGGTACGGTAAATTGAAATTTTCATCTTCGTATATTTTATAGTTTGTCAGAATTGTTTAACTAAAAAGTTCTCCATAAAATTAAAAGCCGAATCAATTTCTGACAATCTGTGATAATCACCTTTAGAATAGACAAAATTTGCCTCCCGCAAATTATTTAGTGCTTTTGACCAAAAACATTGGTTTTTAATGTTTAATATTTAAAAGTAGTCAAACTAAGTACATAAGGACTGCCATGGAAATTGTGCCAAGTTCGCTTATCCTCGTAGATTACAGCCAGAAGTATTACATTAGCACAGATATTTGTTTTGTACAGACAGTAATAAAGTTTTGACCTTTAATTAGTAGTAATGCTTTAACAAAAAAAAAAAAAAAAAAAAATCAGGTTAAAAACAAAATCGTAATAAAGTGTATGGATGAGATGTTTTTCAAAAAGAACAGACCATCAGATATACTGAATTTTAAGTTTGTACATGACACAATGTTCATATTACTTCTTATTTGCTTACTTTGGTTTTCCACTCTAAACTGCTTTGTACGGTTTCGAACTGGAATGGAAAATTTGGGTATTTCTTTACCAGAAGCTTGAAAGCTTTTAACAAATTATATGTTTAGGTAGGGTGGTGGATTGAGCATGGGACGGGTTATCAGCTGTGTACACATGTAAATGTACCATGAGGAATACCAATTTGGGGAAGGCGCTGACACTGCAATGACCCGGAAGTACAGATTAGGTAGTAGGTAGAAATAACTCTTTCTCTAAAAACATCACGCCTGGGTGCCAAACGCGATCGAAAGCCTGGGCCACATCAAAAAAGACACTCTGAACAATACTGCCCAGGAGACGCTTTCTAAGCGTCTTTTTTAATTGTTAGTTTTTTAACTTGATACTATGTTTTTAAATAATTAGTTTGATTTATAACTAATCACCTTGTTTTGCATTCGACTTGTAGTTTTGTTAGGATCTGTATACTTTACTTCAGTATTTCGTTCCTTCCTTCTGAACCATAGTCCCGAACCTTCTGGTTAGTTAAAATGTACGCCATAAACTGAAAAATCCATCTTTATATAACAAATACGGCACACCATACAAAATGTCTTCATGATTGGCACGAAAAATTCTATATTTTTCGCTTTCTCTTCGGCGAAAATGATTACAAATAAAGATAAATAGGTATTTATAGACAGACATCTATTATTTATGGGACAATAATATAATTGATGCTGTACAAAAAATTAAAAATAAACGCAAAATATCCTGTGTTATATCTGATAATGCTTGCAGCTTATGCGCATACGAATTACGGTCTCCGGATGTGCACCCCGGTAAACAAAAAGGCGGAACTGACGATGTAATATCAAGATTGAATCACCCTGCGATCCTAAATAACTTCTTCAAACAATAATCTGTTTTTAAATACAAAATTCTTTTGCTTTTATTTTCTATTGTTCCGTTATTTTATAGAATTTTGGAACAAGACCATGCACTGAAATTGTCTCATGTTTATTACAATCGAACTATGGATTTATTTTTTCCTGCAAAACAGTACAAGTGAAGTATTCGGTTTTCAAAACTATCGCCCCTATCAACTAGGTTGGTCATGTCCAACGCGACCATCCGTAAAAAAGAACAAGTATGAGGGTCATTATTTTTCCCATGGTTGTAATTTGTGGGAAACGGAATCAGAAGTGATGGCATACTGATGGGGCGAGAGGAAAACAGGACAGGATCTGTCCTCTGTCAACTCCCACGATATATAATTTCGCTTGGTCTTGATTATTTCCATATTTATCATACAGAAATCGATTGTTTGAGCGGAATTGAACTGTTACAAAATTTTTATAAAATATTTGTTGTACTTGGCACTTTTTGAGTATATTAAATTTTTTATTTATATTTATTAAAATTGGCCAGTTTAGCAAGCAGTATTTGTTTACCAAAAAAGTCAATTTCGATGATGTCGTTAACGCATAGTTTTTTTTATTTGTTAATTATCTTAAAATCAAAAGATTGCATGTTATCACACACAAATTAAATAAATTTCATAATATATAATCGAGATTTGTGTTTATATTGTATAATGGTATAATTTATATATTATACCATTACAGCCATTGTGCTGTATCGGTATTGCTCAATGCCGTATCGGATTTGAATAATTCTACAAACCTGCGAGTGAAAACGGACCCAATAAATCACCCAGTGCAGTATAAATAAATATGATGAATTGTGCCTAACCTCTTGCTATTGTTTATTAGTACTTCCTGTGTGATTTTACCATATACATTTGATTTTGTTAAACTATAGAAGTATAAACAATTTCCGATGTATAATTAAATAAACATCAATTGAAAACTAAAATAGAAATTAAACCGTTTTAAACGGTCCTAGAACGCGCGGACCACACAAAGTAACAATTTTAACATTGCTACGTAATTAAGTATTAAAGGCCAAATTAAATTACTATGTAGCAAGAATTGGCGTGGTTACATTTCCACAACTAGAATAAATAATAAGGTTGACACGCATATCATTTGCATTAGGGTTGCTTTTTAAAAAACACACTGTCGGTAATTTTTTGAAAATTGAATAATTCTAACTTTGTTATAATGCCAAACCAAGGTAAGTTAAAAGGGCGATTGGCTGATTTCTATCCCAATTAAAAGAAAAATCAATAGTTTATACATTACTATTTAGCTTTTTAAAATTTAATAAAGTTCAGATATTGATATGACTATGGTTTCACTTTATTCCATTTTCGTGGTCAGTGGTGACTAAAATATCCCTTTCTTCCACTGCGACCTAAAAGATCTATTGTGTAATTGGCCCTTATTTACTACCAAATGTCGAAATGTGCACTACCCTTTAAGTTAGTTGCACTTTCCGGGCTTCATCTTCTCTTAGTTCTTTAGGCGTTAAAGTCTTCTTTCCAAGGGTGTATCGTTTTTAAGTTTTACAGTCATAGAAGACATGTTTCTGCCTCTTCATGACAGAGTCGGCAGGTTTCTGTGTTCAGTTTCCCTGTGTTTTTGAGGCTATGATTGAATGGGCAGCGGACAGTATAAAGGCCTATAATTTTTCTGAATTCTTGCCAGGTGAAAGAGAGGTAGATTTTTGCTTTCCTGGTTGAGATGTCGGGGAACTCACCCTGTGTTGTTTTGCACCTCGTGAATTCATCCAATGTGTGGTCATTTCTTTGTCCATCTATTTGTTCAGTTCCGCTTTTAGCTTTGGGACGTGCCAATTTGCGGTTCTGGTCCAAAGTGTGTGAGGGCCAGTTCTGATTTTGCTAGCCGTTCGTTGCCTTAACCCCCATGTCGTGGTACCCACATCACAGTTACCTGATTACATTTTACCTGGAGGTGAGTTATTTTAGATAATCCCAGCTTTGAATTTAGAGTGAAGATCTCACTGTCATAGAATGAGGTCTAAGTCCTGCTTATTGGCTGTCTGTCAATCTCGTGTTATTCTTTTTTTAGAATGTTTATTATTTGAATCTCACCTTGGAAAATTGATGGTGTGGGGCCTAGAGTTTTGGCTAAGTCAAAATTTAGGCCTTTTGACTCCTGGCTCCATTCCATTTTTTATTTTATGTCCAAATTTTTTTACCAAGTTTGTTCCATGTTTATTTAAGGCGGATTCTTTTAATTGCGACGATTAAATATAGTTTTAGTAAATTAGTAACTCATTTTGTGCTTGAAATAAGCTATGTTATTCAATAATTTAGATCGTATTTTCGGGTAAATCGTTCAACGTAGCTTAAAGCTGAAATGTTTTTATGTCGTTATTCTGTAAAATAATTAGAAAATATATTTAGATAGATTGGAAAAATTCTTATGGTGAGGAAATTTATTATAGATCGAGTTTATTGCATCTTATGCGACATTTGTGTAATAATTTTGGCTTGGAATAAACAAACTGTTTCTGAACCACCAGCAACATTGATTTAAACTGAATGATTGTCAACAGTGTGATTTATTTTCTTGTTGGAAATAGAAAATCATCGATACTTTCCAATATCAAATAAAGTAAAATGAAAATAAAATAAATAAAAAGATGGAGATCATAACTTTCCATTTTTTGTTAACAATAAGCACAGTACACAACGAACCCCGGTCCCGTCAAGTTTCACGGTAAAGGGCGTCAAGCACGGACGGAAAATTATCCACGGCTGATTATTCTTTTTTTTGGATGAATTTTGCCGGTGATTTCTAACTTTCGTTTCTCGATTTGTTTTGCATAAGGCGTCAAAATCGGCCGTTTCCTTGTGAAAAACAAGTTTCGACGTCAAAATTATACATTTTAACACAAGTTTTGTCTTTGTATTTAAAAAAATATGTATGATGATATTAATTAATTAATTTTTTTTAAAGGGTGAACTGGTATGGTTCGACCCAGGTGTCGGGCATGTCCTGCCAGGTGAAGTGCTCGAATACCACAAGCCGGCCCAAGTTCTCACCGTACAAGCTGTCATCGCTGGCAAGGTAATTTGGTTTCTTTTATTAACAATATATATTTAACGACAGTCTAGTATTTAGTTTCACAAAATCCACATTCCCCAAGTGCTTAAGTCTTATTAAAAATATTTTCCTATATTCTTTTAAACTTGACTTGCCGTCAAAAACATCCGGAGTCATCTCGAGATGCACTTCGATCCGTGTGGCATTCGTTTAATGGTCGTCCAGGAATCGGTGGAACGTATGAATTAGGATTCGCCGGCAACACGATGAAGGGTTTGAAAACTGCTTCGTGGTAACGGGCCTTGTAAAAAGTTCGATGCCCTGAAATTAAGCCCATGATCAATTGCACATTGAGTCAAGTATGACGACGACCGGGGGGATTTTTTTAAAAATCGTTGTTAATTCATCTTCATACGATGGACAATTCACTGGGGAAAACGGTTTTCCCAGAAAATCTATCGTATTAAAGATTGCACTTTTAAAAAACACCGATACCTTGAACAACCTCTATCTTCATCCTTAAAAAACGAACGAGATTTTGATTATCTAAAACTTCGTTTCATCATTTTAAGATATTTTAATTTTCCACTGATTATTTGAGCGAATTTTAAAGTTTGCGTCATCAAAGAGATATATTTTTATCTCATTGCAAATATATTCATTCCTGGTTGTTTTTACACAATTTATACAAATAATTGATGGATGTATGAAATATATGAATATTTGCTCTGTTGAATCATCATTACTGCTGCTTATTCCTGTTGTTGCATATTTTTATATTTGCCTTATAATCGAGTGATAGATTAGAATTTTCAGCTTTTCTAATCGAGAGGGAAAAGGCCTATTGGGCGAAGTTTTACTAACAAGGGGACGCAACTGACATTGGATCGCGTAAAATTTTAATGACACATTTTTAGTGATACTAAGTCGCAAAATCTGGATCTCGTCATGGTCTGTATTTAGAAACAAATTCAAATGTTAATATGTCTACACATTGACATAAGTAGATTTTTAATGGATGGTTTTAAATTTGTTTGAACACCGACTCAGTCCCAATATTGCAAAGGAATATTTTTGGAATCCTTGGTAATGCTGATTTAGTCGGTCTTCAAACAAATTTGAAACCATCTTTTAAAAACTTAATCATGTCAATTTGTAGATATCTTTAAGGTAGTTTTGCCCAGATGATGACCTTAATATATACGAAAGCTTCGTAGATAATAATTAAATTTGATTTTACAAAAACCAATAGACGCTTCGTTCTTCTTAGGCCAGAAGAATTTCTTTAAAAACAAAACAATTCCTATAAATTTTTAGCACCCTTTGAAGCCAAGGAATAGGAATTTTTATAGCAAATAAAAAATATACTTTATTGGGCTGGATCAACAGGGGGACATTTTTTCTCTGATGTCCGGTGTTCAACTTAAAAATTCATACCTCTTTTGCATTTTGTCCAATGTCCACGGCCAAAACATTCATAACACCACTGATCTTTAGCAAAATTAAACGTTTATACAACCGTTGGAATGCGGAATATTTCTTCTTTGAACCTACAATAACCACGTTTTGCTTTTATGCGATTATAAGTGAAAAAAATACGGTTAAAATCAGTAAAAACTCTGCAATCGTTTTATTTTATTTCTACTGTTCTTATTTATTTATGAAGGTGATGTTTGTGCCATTATGTGTAGCTTATAAGGTTCTACATCCTTTTAGAGTTTCCAGTATATCAGTCTATTTTTTTTAGTTATCACCATTTTTGTAATTTTTTAAACAATTTTGAAAGCACTTGTAAGGCAAAATTGGGAAGGGCAAAATATTTTTGGATTTTCCTACAAATTTCTTCTTTTCTGTGATGTCCGATGTTCCCCTTCAAAAGTCATACCGCCTTTGAATTTTAACCAATTGCACGGTCTTACGACCTTAGGAAAGCTGTATTTCTCTTTTTTAAAACTACGTCAATAACGTTTTGATTTGTGTCTTGTAAGTGAGACAAATAAGGATGAAAAAAATAAAAACACCTCAAACGTTTTATTTTTCCAGTTTGCTTATGGAATAACATTAGTGCCATTACATGTAGCTTATACCGTTCCAAACCTCTGTAAACTTTACGATCGACCCGTGAAGTTATCGTCATTTTTGTGATTTTCGAAAAAATCCTGCGGAGAAAACTAAGGCAAGTCGGTGAGGAAAAAAACATTTTTTGATTTTCCCAAAAATTTGAATTCAGGGTTTTTTCGGTGCGCAAAACGAATATCAATTTTGCTTCTTGCTAAAAAAATATAACCTGCTTTGCTACGTCACTCCATTGCAAAAATAAATATTTCAATATACAGTATATTACACCCATACAATGGCTAGGGTATCAAATTTAATATAATTTTATACTGGTAAGAATATTTGCTGTTTTATTAATAGTTATTGCTGGTGTTATATATTTGTTATTGCTATAGAATTTCTTTTTTGTAACTGTGAAGTAGATTAGATTTTTCGGCTGATCTAATCAAGGGGGAAAGTCAAATATTTGGATGAGGAGTCTTTACTAAGTTATTGTTTTAATAAAATGTACTGTTATCGTTTAGCTGGAACATATTGCTATTTGCTACCATACTGAAATGCGCACTATGTTCTTCCATACTATTCGAAATAAGCTTTCAAACTACGGTTGAATGTATGAAGGTCCTGGACTACTCATCCTATAATTTGTTCAACAAATTTTGTCACCATAATAATTTCAAGAGAATGTATAATTCTCTTCTGTCGTATACCGTTTGTAGTATTGTATTGTATTTATGTATAATAATAAAGATTCACTGTTGGGTGTAACCTTTGAATTTGTGGTTGGATATGGCTCTTTCCTGGTTTTATATGTGTTATTTACATAGATGTTTTTTTCCCTCTGAACATGAGTGGAAAAACAGGAAATTTATGTTTTTGAGCTTGAAGGGAAAGAAAGGAAACTGCTGGATGATAAGGATCATGGAATCGTATTTGCATGAAATCTAAAGTTTACTGGAAAGTGACTCATCGATTACCTCGATGATTCTTTATAATTTATATAACGTGAAAACCTGGGTTGTGTATAACTATACAATATGCTACAACTATGCTGTATGATAAATACTTTCAAACTGCAGTAGGATATATTTTTCCTAAAATTCCAGTATTTGTGTTTTTTATTTTTGTACATTAAGTACACATTTTTTCGTTTCCCTATTGAAATCGAATATTAAATGAGTCAGATTTTCTACGCGAAAGAAAAAAATGATAAACCGTTAGAAGATGGGAATTTAGAGAAATCTACAGTTTACATTTACCTCTAAAGAGCGATGTACAGTTATTGATTACCTGGTTGTTTCTATATAATTTACACAGCTAATTTGTATATGGTGAAAAGCTGGAATATACTATTGTATATTCTAATTTTATATTATAATTGTTATACAGTTCCTTTTTAGATGGCCTGGCTGAAATTCTCTTGAACCAATGACGCTATTAAAAAAAAATTCGTGTATAATATTTTTTAGACTAGTTTCAAATTTTTACCTTTTTTTCGAGAATAATTATACAGGGTACCTCAGGCCCAGATCAACACCAAAATTTCAAATACGACAGTATAAATCCTGACAAATCATTTTAAAGGATTTTTTTTACGGTGAAATCAATGGTGCAATCGGATTTTAAATTGGTCAAAAAATGACAAAGTTATAGCAAAAAGTGGAAAAAACAGTCATTTGGTTTGCTATTTTTTAATTTCATTTCCTGTTCGAACTGCCCGCCTTGTATAAAGATGCCAAGATTTGCTCTTTTTAACCACTCTTTACCGGTGCTCAGAGCGATAGATTCAGGGGAGTTGGATTGAGAAGTATTTTCTATCCTTTGCCGCAGTTCTTCAACTGAAGTTGCTGAGTTATGATTGGCGTAGACACTGTTTAATAAATAGCCCCACAGAAAATAGTTAAATCGGGTGACCGAGGAGGCATACAGATCCACCTATCGCAGAAGTGACGATTCAAATAACGTCTCGCAAAGAATTAGGTACTGGAGAATGCGCAAGCTGGAGAATCATTCTTTGTCGTAGTTGCAGAGGAGCATCATCTAATAGTGTTGGTAAAACCACCCTAAAAAAAATTTACGAACTGAGCACCATTTAAATCATTTTCGTAGAAATAGATGTAGATGTAACAGTCGGGGTGTGCGCCCCTTAAAAGCTGTTGTATTCCCCGTTCTCTGCCTAAAGCACACCGGTGAGTCCTATTTCATCAAGGAACTTGATTAATAGGTACGGTTTTAGTGGTTGAATCTCTTCTATGGTCACATTGTACATCCCAAAGCACTTCCTCCTGCGGGCAAGTGTAGCATCGAAGTTTGTTAGCAGGTGTTTCCTCTGCCTCTTTGCAGAATCTACATGTGCCGTCTTGGATTATTCCAATCTTCTGGGTCCATTTCGCTTGCAGTGTCCTGTTAAGACTCCTGTTAGGATTGGAGGACTCCTGCTTCCTTTTGACAAATTCTGTAACTTCTTTTCTTCCGAAATTTGTTAGGAGATTCTTGGATTGCCTGTATCCAATGAGTGAATCCTTCATTTTCTCTTTGTCTTTTTGTTTTAGGTACTGATTGGTAGTGTGGGTTCCTATGCCCCAGGTTCCTATCAGCAGTGTAGCAACCCCTTTCCTTGCAAGGGTCTTTCTCGTTGCCTTCTACCCTCAAGTGTCCTGGGACCTAGCAGAGGCTGACATTGTTCTGCGTACCTGATATGTTTAATTTGGTTTTGCTGTTCAACACCATCTTTGAACTATTGATATTTGGGCTTAGTGCTTTGATGGCTGCTTGGCTATCTGACATGATAGCTATGTTCTTGTTTTTGTACACTTTAGTCAAATTGAATTGAATACATCTCTCGATTGCGTGAATCTCAGCTTGGAAGATACTGGTGTATTTTCCCATGGGTTTTGAGTATTTGGTTCCAGGACCGAATACTCCTATTCCTTTACCTTCTTGTGTTCTACATCCATATGTGTAGC